AACTTCAAGAACATCACCAGTATTGAGAACATGTCGGGGGGGGGGGGGGGGGGGCAAATGTCAAAACAAACAGCAAACAACTTTTTTGTGTCGTACTTCTAAAAGCTTTACAAGGTCTAATGAGGAAGACACTTTTTCTTCAGAGTGTTGGGTATTTTTTTTTCCTCCTTTTGATTTACATTTTTTTAGAACTAGGAAGGCTAAAGATTTAACTTCTCCATATGAAAGTAAAAATTCTCACACAGCTATTCCATCAGTCTTAGCAAATGGTAACAGATGGCAATGCTGCTTCTGAGCCAATTTGCATTTGCATCTACAGAATTCTCTCTGTAATTCATCTCCCCACAACCTTCCCGACAAACTGCCCAAAAATGCACAAAATCACAACTAAGATACACTTCCACATTCTTGCAAAACTCATTACTTTTATGTACAAAGGCAGAAAGGCAGCTTCTACCACCTTACTCAAGAGAGGACAGTGGGGAAACCCTGTGACACTATGGTAACCCTGTCAAGCCAGCTGTGGCTGCCTTCATTGACAAAATACTGATTTGGCCTATAGACTAGGAATAGATTTAACAACTAATTCCATTGATTCACTTCCACTTAGGACATTGTTCTGAATGCAAGAGGGACAATCTGGTTTTGGATGTCATGCAAGTGAAGTGTTTGAGACTTCATTTCTCATACGGCAAACAGGAAAACCATTATCTTCCTGCACATCCTCAGCATGAGCCAGAAAACCAAATAATTAAAAACCAGGACAAAAAAATAGGGTTATCTACTGGTTAGTTACAAGACTTACTTCCTAATCAAAGAATCAATCAACCAGCACCATGCATGCCTGGATTTCCTTTATTGTGTCTTGATTCTTTATCAGCACCTTTAAGCATATATATACTATGCTTGCATTTCACAGTAATGAAACTCACCCTCCACTACTGAGAGTTTCAAACAGCTTAGATTAATGCCAAATATTTAAAGTTCTCATTATACACTATCCTTATGTTAGTCCATGTTCTAGATATTTCTGAACAAGTCAACAGGTCATGAACACAACGTTAGCTAATAAGCAGATCAATGCTGTTACACAAGAGACAGTGACTCACCACACAAATGAATTCTTAAATTGAACTACGACAGCCCACAAACTGCAAAACACTATCCAATAAGGAAGAGAATAACTTTTTAATTATTAAGATGCATCACGTGCGAGTTTTAAATTCCACCAAAAGCAAGTAATGCAAATTATTTTAGAGATACTTATGGACATCTGAAGTAGAAAAGACACTCACCTAAGCCAACTATCCTGCAGGTTTTTTCAAAACTCATCTATTCTGTACTAGATTAGCTCCTTTTGAGGGCAAAAATCCAACCTCACAAACTCTATACAGATGGTAAAAGCACTCTATGAAAGAAAGGACAGACAAACCCACATTCTGTATCAAACTCCTTGTATCTGATGGCACAACTGCGTTTAAGCACACCTGGCAGAAATGCTGACAGCAATCTTTTTCCTTTATTTGAAATGTTAAAACCAAGCTAATGCAACTACATGTGTCTGCCCCCTGAAACACCTTCCACTTCGACTACCCAATAATGCAGGCACTACTTTCTGATTATGTGAATTTTCGTCAAATTTACTTTTTATGTTTTCATTAAGAAGTGTTTCCATTAAGATTGACTTCCAACAACTTCTTGAAAATAAGCAAAATGAATGCCAAGTTCTCCTCTATTTTTTCTAGTAACATCCAACAACATAAAAACAGTTGCACTATTTTTTTAACTTGTAGCAGTGTTCTGGGTAAACATGTTTTTTCCCTGTTAGTTTTGTAAAAGTGGCAGTCATGCAGGAGGTTTTCAAAATTAAAGAAACAGGATTATAAAACCACAAAATTGACCCAGGGCCTTTGGGCATCAGAGTACTTACAGTTATAATCAATTTTTTAGTTTGACAAGATTTCAAAATCAACTGTGGAATTTTGGAAACTATTTCAAATTTTCTCTATTCCAATACAGCAATTCTAATCACAAACAAAATTACTTAGTACTCAGTTCAAAATTAAAACTACTTGAACATGTGCTAATGTAGCATATCTAAACTCTTGCTAAGCTGCTGAATAGCAGGGATGTACACAGCCCTGATCTGAGCAGGGCAGGGCAGGCTGCTCTACTAGTCACACCACCTAACAAAGGAGAGGCTCCAATCAGGGTTCCCATATTTCTATCAATAACTGAAGAGAGGCCTCAGAACATGTCCCTGCTCACCAGACTGCACTGAGCTCACATATTCACCAGTCTTTTCTCTAGTTCTTCCTGACACCAGCAATCCTCTCACAAGTGAGCAGTCACATTAATGAAACCCTGAATTGCCAGTAAGAAGTTGTATGGTGTATCATTCACTTCCATGGATCAGCACTGGAATATACTTAAGCAGGTTCTGTACAGAAAGAAGCAAGACATGTTCCCCCTGGGCAAGTAAATTCCAGAGGTGTTTCAGTGTTATCCCTTAATTACCAGGACAGGGCCAGGAAGAAGGGCATCATATAAAAATTAGCAGAATTAAAAGCAAATAAAGTAACACTGGGATAAGGGAATCAGCACATGGGAATGTATTTACAATTCTGATGTTACTCAGTATTGCAAACACATCATGTAGGTATTGTTTAATTATCAATTTGGGGTTTAAAACAGGACATCTTTACAGCATCAACTGTTTTCCTCACAAATAAAAGACCATGTGTACCTGCTTTCAGTATTTCACAAACAGACTAGAACTGGTACTTAGTCAAAACAGTTGCCAAGTATAAGCTGTAAAGGCAGAAGCAAAACATGAGAACACTATGTCAAGAGAAAATAATTATAAGTTAAAACTAAACTGAGGCTTGAGTTCTGAGCAACAAGGCAAAGTAATTACACGTGGTAAATGCAAGAAAAATGAAATAACTGCAAGGCAGATCTGACATCTGTGCTAGCAGCAGTGCTACAGATCATTGGTTGTAGGCATTTTGCACTAAGTGCTACAGAAGATTATTTCAGCAGTGATGACACCAGCTTCTTCCCATCTCTTGCCCTAGTGACATTATTTTTTTACATCACAGGGGTTACTTATCCAAAAGTGATTTTTTAGACATTTTATATGCTAATGTTTGAGCAACCAAACAAGCTTTTTTAAATTAAACCCCAAAGTTTTAATATTAAAGTACATTTATATTTTATGGTATCTTAAAACTACAGCTACATGCAAAGTTGTAATAAGTTAATTAAATTTTAAATCCCTGATGAATTTTAATATTGTTTCTTTTAAAAATATAAATAATTATTTTCATTAGGTAAAACCTAAACACTTTTTCCATAAATGCTGTAATTAAAATACTTATTAATTGGTCTCTAGCACAGTACAGCTTTGATTTCTTTGCTCACTTCTCTTCTAAATTAGAAATAACTGTCAAAAAAGTAATTCAGAAAACTATTTCAGATGGTGTAAGGGAGGCTACCCTGTATTCATTTTGCAATTCCAAATGCTAAGTTTATTTAAAAGAAACACATCCATGTGTGTACGAGTTAAGCTGCAGTGTCTAAAGCTGACCTGAGGACACAACTGGGAGACTAATCTCACGCAACACATGCACTATCAAGAATCCTGCCTGGCACTAAAACATGTCTAAATTGCTCCTCTAGAGCCCAAGGGGTAAAATAGAAAACAAAAGCCCAAGATGCCTGCCCGGTTAGGTATCTTTTCACTTGGACATTGCTGCCACCACATGGCCAAAGCGCTGAGCTGCGCCCACCCTTCCTCTGCACCTGCAGACACCACACCTGCTCAGCACCCTCCTACAAGCCACTCATTCCAGCTCTCTGCTCCAGCCTCTCCCAAAGCCCCGTCATTGCCGCTGACTTCCCAAATTACTTCCACCTAAAAGAAGATTAGAAGCAACTTAAAGCACTCAGATCTTGCTGACAGTACCTTCCAAATACAAGCCACCAGCTGTACAAACAATCCAGTGTTCCACAATGATGCCAAACCAGTATTCACACAGACAACAGAAAATCTTACTGGTGTCAGTTCAGGTAACCAAAGCCTAATTAATGTGCCAACAAGAGCTGCAACAGTTCCTTTCCTGAAGTGCTGTTTCCTCAGAACATCCTACCAGAAAGCCAGCTTTTGGAAAGCTGGACTCTGCACACTGCCCTGTCTCCTCCAAAGGCTCAGTAATCCCCAACCAAGGTCTGCATGCTGGAGAGACACGGTGAGTTAAGACACCACAGAAAAGGAGTTCCATAATTTCTCACAGTAAGCAGGAGTCTACATTTATTCTTACTTATTATTGGCTGTTATGAACAGTAGTTCGCTTCATACTTCACCTTTAAAATACTTACCTGTTAAGAATTCCTTTTCTTAATTCTGCTGCGCAAGACCTGGCAAACTCATTTACACAAGTGCCAAAGGCACCACAGAAATACGAGTATATGCCATAGCTGTGGATTTAACTCCATCACCTGTGGGATAAGGCTCCACTAGACTGAGGAACTCCGCAACACTTGCAGAGTTTGGACCAGGCAGCCATACATTTAGGCATCACGTTTGAAATAATCCCAAAAGTCAGGTAGCCTTCAATAAACACAATTTATAGCATCTTCACCCTTTCTCTAGGTGATTAATGAAGACACCAATTCTGCAGTTTGTGAACCAATATGCTTGGACATCACTTTTTATTTCCACAGCCATTTCACCTGTAGCTTTCTAAAAGGGACTACGTAAAAACTGTACCCTGTATGATGACAAATACCATAGATCATTTTGGCAAGGCCAGAAAGGAAGTCAAAATGCCTCTGGGCTTCCTGGAGAAAGCTAGGCTGCAGAAACCATTCATTCAACAGTCACTCTATGAAGGACTGCATAAGAGAATAGCTCAGTCAGTCAAAATGTAAGGCAACTAACTGAACAGTCCCTGCTTGCTCTTGCATACCTGCCAAGAAAAAGATGTGAATACACTCACCTTTTTTGCTCTTTGTGCTATATTAGGCGTTCTAGTGAGAAGCTTTTCAATCAGGTATTCTCTGTTCTGCAAAACCAACATTTACTCAGTTAAAAATCAATACAAGGAAAGAAGAAATTTCATGTAGATTTTAAGACAGAGCAAAATTTACTCATAGGGTTAAACGTTTTACCTTGGCTTTCTGGAAAAATTTGCATTTTAAAAGTTCTGCTGCTGTGGGCCTGAAAGATCAATAATAAATTAGAACAGAAAACAAAGACCCCTTTCAGTGAATACAGTACAAGACGTTAGTTAAATGGTACGTCTCTAATACTTCTGAATTAGTACTGTATGAATGGGGAATGAATGGTAACAGCTACTGAATTAATTCACACGTACTCACTTACCACCCATGAAAAAATTAAGCCTCCCTACAGCAAAAATACCAAATAAATAAATAAATCAGTCTAAGTAGCCAGTTTCCCCCCACCTGCATTAGACAAATGTATTTTACTCTTCAAACAAACAAACAGAGGCAGGTATCATGTTCTTCCCCAAGTGACTATGAATGCAACTGAACTTTGCTCCACAGCAATAAAAGAATAATTACATTTCCCAAACAGCAGTATCAATACCTGCTACCAGCATTCTTTTATTTCATTGATGTCAGCATGTATTCACAAGCAACTATGCTGACATTATTAACATGATGCATTGACCAAAGAGAGTCATCAGGAGCATCTTCCAACCAAACAGATAAAGAAAAATCAAAGCAACAGTTTTAAGGCCAAAACCCAGACATTTCACTTTTACTTGAAGTCCTGTTCAAGTTTTTTTCTTCCTATAATTGTCAAGTTTATAATTTTTTTTGTCTTCAACTGATAATCACAATCTCACGGCTTCTGAAGTGTAGGATTTTAACAGCAGGATTTGTTTTCCCTAACTTAAAGGATCTAAAATGTTATTTATCTACCCAAAGCCAGACTCTGGTACAGAAGCAGAATATGGGGAGAAAGTAAAACATTTCTTGGGATGAAATAAAATTCACTAGATTCTTTTTATTCTTTCCATTAGGAGCCCATACCACTATCCAAGAATCCAAGATTCATAATTTCTAAATAAACAGAAGCAATGTCTGCTATAATTTTCCATTTTAACTGAAGCAAGAGATTGGATATAGCACAAACTAGGTAAGACAATGAAAGCTTCCATTTGGAAAATTTCCACCTCAAAAAAAAACAACAAAACAATCCCAAAATCTATACTAGTCTTTCTCTGAGGACATATCTGAAGAATAAGTGAAGAGGAGAAGTAGTGTGTATGAATATATTAGTTCAGTCCTGCTAGAAACAATGAAACAACTCCTGATATGAACAAAAAAGCAATCAATTTAAACAAATAGTAGTTCCATAGAGTGCTTATTTTTCTTCCCCTCCAAAGCACCAAACTCAATACTCCAAACTACAGTAAAGCAGTTCTTAGTAGTGCTACTGTAGGGACCACCAGGCTCAGCAGTAGTTCACACATAAACCTTGTATGAGCTAAAAGGAACCAGAACTGTTAAATAAAAATACACTTAATAAAAAAAAAAAAAAATATATATATATATATCTGTTTCTGTGTCAAGGTTTCAAAGTTCTATCTCAAATTAACTCTTAACCGTGAGACAAGCTTCTGGGTACCATCGCATCTCATGACACGGATATGCATAGTTAAAAGCTGTAGTCTTAGTATCCAAACTAGTGTCCTCCATTCCTCTACCATTACTTAGGCCAGACACCTCTGAACTGGCCTGGGCATGCTCTCTAGTCTGTTTTCCACACAGATAGCTGCAGTCAGCTGAGAACTGTAAACAGCATCTTTAGCAATGGGGAAAGAGAGAAACCTCCAGATCCCCCAAATAAAACATTATGAGACAACAGCATAATGCCAGTTCTAGAATTTGCCACAAGGAGCAGGCACTTATCCCACAGTTGACATGATGACTATAGAGCTATATTCAAGCAAATTTAAATCCTGGCTTGGGAGAAACACAAAAAATAGCGATGACCCCACAATATATGGACTCCGTACACAGATATAATCACTGATCTGCTGGTCTAACTGTCCAATTCAAGACAATAGAGTATGAAGACATAACACACATGTAAATATCAGTGTAATCAACAGTGTTAATTAGTTTAAACACTAATGTTTCAACACTGATGTCATAACTACAGATCAGGTAACTCAGTACTGTGTATTCAAGGTGAGAAGGAAAACAATTTTAATTATTTACTTCGTGCTTTCATACCAATATAATATTTCCCTGAAAATTGCTGGACAATGGAAATAAAAAGAAGCTTGATTATCCAGAACACATTTCATTAGTATCTATTAAGCAGCCAAACCAGGGTGCTAAGCTTAAGCTTAAGACCAGTTGTAAGGGTTTGGGAATCTGAAAACAGCACACAAATGATCCTTCTGTGAATAAAAAAAATCTAAAGCATTTCAAGAATAAACATGTTGCCATGTAGTCTTTTTTATTAATCGTACTTGCTCTCTAGGTATTGCTGCTGACACTCCACACCCTCCAACAATACCCTGGACTTAAGCTAATGCAACATCAGTGAAGACAAGTAAGCACCACCCACAGGAGTCACACAATACTCAATCATGGCTGCTCTATCAGAACAAGCTTTTTCCCCCAGAAATACCAGCTCTGAAACTCTTCACAAAAGTAATATATTAAATAACCTTCAGAAGTAATGTTCATTAGAAAGTGCCTTCTCCAAATCTTCAGCAAAAGGAACCTACAAAAATGGGTCTGCATAAAAAACGTGTAAAGGATAAATAAATTGATCCTTCTGGGAACGTGGGACCTCAGCAATGGTTTTGGAATAAATGCTTCGTATTTTCATCATCTTGGCTATCCCATTCACAAAACATGGCAAAAAAGAACAAATCACAAAGATACTATGACATGCAATGAGAAATTAATATGTAGAGCAAGCACTTTTGTTTTATAGCATTTTAATTCAACAGTATATTTAAATATACAGTAAATCAGCTTAACAACCTGGAAGAAGAAAATTTAAATGACAATTAGGAGTCAATTTCTTCTCTGCAGATGAAGATGACTGAAGGCTGCTACTTACGAAATTCTAATCATACACTTAAAGAATTATGTTTCAACATGGGAACTTCAAGGAGTCTGTATATTTAAAAATAATTCCACTGTACATGGCAATAACGACCTACCTTTTGGAAGGATCTTTTTGAAGGCATAATGAAATCAGCTTTCTAAAGGATTTGCCATACTTTTTCATCATTTCCTTGTCCTCTACACCTGTTTCTAAAGTGGGAGGGTCATTTTGAAGTGTCAGCATTAACACCTACAGTAAATCCAAAAAAGAGATATGGTAAACAAAATAAATTCAAAACATGTAGAAATCAAAAGAGAATAATATTCCACACAATATACATGTTTAGTTATCTTGAGCTGCTTCTAAAAATGAAGTAGCACTAACTAACTAGCTGCATTAGCAATACAGCTTATAGCATTAAGTTATACAAAGTGATTGTTACTTTCATAGGAGGGTATTTGTGATAAGGTGCTGCTCCTGTTGCTAACTCAATGGCTGTTATCCCAAAACTCCACATATCAGCCTTGAAGTCGTAACCTCGCACCTGGGAAGAGCCAGAAAGGAAAAATAAGCTGGTGAAGTCTCAGTTTCCAAAAATGGAAGACTGAAAAAATATATATACTTTTTTAGCATTAGGAATACCTGCTCCATCACTTCAGGGGCCATCCAACATGGAGTACCAACAAATGTCTTCCTTACTTTGTTACGAGTAACATCACCTCCTGTTGCTAAAAATGCACTAACACCAAAATCTGGGAAGGAGGAAAAAAGTTAAGACCTGTTAAACTACCAACAACAAAGCTAAAGTTTTACATGTTAGAAATTTAAGTCAATTCATAAAGATCTACTTAGAGAAACCCTCCAATGCAGGGCTTCCTTTATTTTTCATGACACACTAGTTTTGAAATGCTATAGTTATCTGGGAGATCTACACTAGGACATCCTCCATAGTATGTGTCTTCTTGAATATGGTTACAAAGGACTCCAGTACAACTGTCACTGAAGGTTTTCAGATGTGCACTCTGAGCCAAGGTTTGAAAGGTTTGCATCTGCTGTTGCTCCAAGGTAAGGTGCTACTTCTGTATAGCTACTAAATCTGAATGCAGTAAGTTAGAGGGCATACTACATATAACCTAGATACTTAGAGATTTGACAAATCAAAGATAACAAGCAAAGTGATCAACAATATATATATTTAATAGCACACCACGACATAAATATTTTTTCCAAATTTCAAAATAGCAAAAAAACTCAGTGTTCTGTTAACCTGTCACTGCATCAGTGGCAGCTGTGTGGGAGAAGTTGGGGATAAGTGGAAAAAAGAAGAGCAGATTATCAAAGTATGGTGAAATAAAGTCATTTCAAATGGAGACATACGAGTATTTTAAATTGTGCTTTATACCAAAATCAAGTAGCTTACTATTGACCCACTTTTCCTATTTTTCTCTGTTTTTAAGGTTGAAAAAAAAAATAAATCTGTAATTACACAAAATGTAGTCTTATCATTACTTTCCAGTAAACAACTGTTAAACATCACAGACAAATTCTGGACCTCTTCTGCATTGCTAACACACACAGAAATACAGCAGACAAGTAAGAAGCAAGCTTCAAGCAATATTCTTTAATTTTTTCTGCAGCTTGCATGATGACTAAAAATATATATTTTTTTTCTGCAAAATCTGTAAGTTACAGAGTAGGTAGATTTTGTTTGTATTTCTAATCTAAACAGCATGAATAGCTTCAGAAACACCTTCTAAGTTTTTAATGCCCTAAAGTTCAATGCCATTATTAGTGACAGTTTTCTGAAGAGGAACTACTGTACACAAGGAAAAGCTGGATAGGCAAAAAATAAATAAATTCATTAAAAAGGAGAAATACGGAGAAAAATTCTCCCCATAAAGACAAATAGTTTATATTGGACAATTATTTAGAGGTCCTTCCAGGAAACAAGACACACAGCTAAAATTCTGACTTAACTTTACTAGGGAATAGTAAAAAGCCAACAAAAAAGCCTTGAATTTGTGCTTCTGATCCACCTGGAATTACCTTTTTCTTTTATTTTGTCATTACTGTACCACCACCATTACCTGCTATTTGTACAGAGCCATCTTCACCAAGAAGAATGTTGCCAGCCTTCAAATCTCTAGAATGTACAGAGGTTACTTTTATGTATGAAAGTACATAAGTACAGATTTTATGTTAAAAATAAATATTTCATACTAATTCATTCACAAGATAGCATTTTACAATTTAACAGACAGAAACAAGAACTGAAGTATAAGATGTAACTAACGTACAATAAAACAGAATGCAGAACTCCAACTCTCACAAAATCTGTTTCTTGTATAAAAAGACTCAAATTCAGCTTTGGCGTAAAATAAGCAGAATTTATGGACAGATTTTGAGAACAGAAATTTTTAGGTCCAAAGACTGTTCAGCCACTTCTTACAAACATACTCTCACAAACTGAGAGCTTTTAGAGCTTTAAAGCAAGAATTAATGCTTTCTCTCCATTCAACTGCACCACTGATAGAAAAGTTGAAAAACATTTTTTTATCTATTCAGACAACAGACTCATCTTCAGGAAAGGTAAATATACTGTCGGTTTCTACCCAACGAAGACATTAAAGCTCAGGAATAGCAATCATATTTTGCTACAGTATACCATGATGAAAAGATAATTGACACTGAATCTGTAAAAAAATTCAGGAAGTACTTAACAGTCAATAATACCCATTTCACAAACTCCTCAAGCATAATATTAAGAAGAAACCTTGCTGGCTGCTTTTTTGTTTGTTTGATTTTGGCTTTTTGGTTGGTTTTTGTTGTCTTTTTTTAATATAGTAATGTGCATCCCATTCATAATGCACAGGATGTTCCATACAAGAAGTATCACAAACATTAAAAATTTGAGTGGATCTATCTTTGCAAGATTTTTCAAAAAAATAATTAACCCATTACTAGTGAAAGATAACAACCAGTTTCCTTATACATAAACAAGAATACATCACAACAACAGAACAAAATCCTTGAAGAGTTTTGGAAAAATCTCCAACTGGCAAATACCACGTGACACAGCATTCCCTGAACTACTATGGCTTTTACCTACAACACACATGGGAAAAGGAATACACGCTGTACTGCCCTCAACGGGACTACTGTGGTACCACACAGCTTACAAATTAAATGTTATAAAAAATTACAAATCTCAGATGTAACAGCTATCTCTCTTCTCATCTTTTTTAAGATCCTTTAAGAATAGACAAGGGAAACTCCCAAATCCGACCTCAAAGGGTCCTGTTATCCTTAAATGCTAATGAGTGTTCCTTCCACAATCTTATCAGCTTAACAGAAGACTATGAATTAAGGTTTGAGACAGATCTTTGGCATTCCAGACCAGAAGTCAAGATAATTGTTCTTTATTTCTCCATTTATCTCAATTTTCTCTCTGCAAAAGGAGGAAATAGTTCTTGATTTACATCAGAGGCAGTTAATTTATAGGAGACATAAGAAGTACACAAAGAACAATTACTGTGCTACATCTGCACTATCTCCAATCTCAGAGTTCTCTCTACAGAGAATCCCATTTTTGTTAAGAGATTCCCTCATAAAAGGCTAACATCTCAAACAGAGAGAGAGCCTGTTGCAGGTACCTTCCTCAAAAGGCAAATTCACTTCAGTAAAATTAATTAGGGAAGTCAGAGTATAGCACTTCTAACATTCAAAGAGTGGAAGCAACCTGTGGATTGCTGCAGCATATATATATAGAGCACCTTGGGAAATCTGCACAATATACATTGAGGAAGGCAGTGAGGAGAGAATGTATAGAAGAGAACGATCAGCATATGCATACACACCAATATGCAGTTCCATAGTAACAATTCACGCTTCACATGTGGTCATAAAGAGAGGGCTGTAGAGTTGTAATAGATAGGCCTTCCAGTATCTGAAGGGGCCTACAGGAAAGCTGGGGAGGGACTTTTTACTAGGGCATGTAGTAAGAGGACAAGGGGTAATGGATTAAAATTTGAAGAGGGGAGATTTAGATTAGATGTTAGAAGAAAATTCTTCACTATGCAGGTGGTGAGACACTGGCACAGGTTGCCCAGGGACATTGTCGAAGCCCCATCCCTGGAAGTATTCCAGGGTGAGATGGATGGGGCTCTGAGCAATCTGGTCTAGTGGGAGGTGTCTCTGACAATGCAGGGGGGTTGGATCTAGGTGATCTTTAAGGTCCCTTCCATCCCTAGCCATTCTATGATTCTATGATTAGTGTTTACCAGGTTTACTGTGAAACACAATAACCAAGTCACAGATCATATCACCTGAACTAGGTATTTGGAGTACCAGCAGGCACAGGAGTCTAGACCACAGTTCTGGCATACTTAAATGTCTGATAGATCTATCCTAACTATAGAGAGAGACAGACAGGATAAAGACCAGGCAAGTACTAAGTATTAGGACAAATTGCAGTCAAGATTACAGCATCTGCCCAAGCATTATAATTTGATAATTACAGATAGCATTTACAGTATGTGAAACAGAAAATACAGTTTGCTTAGCCAGGCAACTGCAGCTGACCAGCATCAACAAACTATACACACAACTTTGAAAATGTTCTTCACTATGTGTAAGTGCCTACCTGTGAATTTGACCATTTCTGTGTAGATAATCTAAACCCTCCAAAACTTCTTTAAGAATTGTTGCTATTATGGGTTCTTCAAGGACACCATTTTTATGTTCTCCTCTGTTGACAATGTACTTTATTATATCTAGCATTGAACCTATATTGAAGAACCAACAAAGAAAAAAGCATTTATACAGAGAGAAAGTTGTATTTCTTCATTCTTTCTATGCTACTGCAATTTAAATATTTGTGTGTACATAAAAAGACCTCATGGAACAGTCTCTCAGAGTAAAGCCCACTGCTACCTCATTCAAATGAGAAACAAGGTACTGTTTTTAGTCAAGAATACTGTAAAACTCAAATGATCCATCAGAAAGCTCTGCTAACAGCTTGCTAAGCTACCATTTATTAAAAATTCTGGAGTCACACTTTTTAAACAAACACATGCAGCAAAGGTTTTGGTTTATTATCCAGCTCAGGTTACGGTTCCTGCGTTGGTAACATAAACATGCAGCTGCAAGACTGGAAGGTGATGTTCTCTGCAAACAAGTGATGACAACATTCCTAGTGACACCTGGTTTGACTTAGAACTTCGGTTATTATAAACTTCAAGGAATCTAATAGCAACATTTTATTTATATTAAAGCATTTTTCAACAGCTCACAGTAAACTCCTGTCATGAATCACTGGTTTCTCCCAGGGTCTACACTTGCTTTTGAATTAACTGAATAATTCAAACAAATGTGACATAAGTATTATTTTAGGAGCACTTCCTATTCTTGCTTTCTAACATGATGATGCAGAAGTCTGCTGCCATCAAGACTAATCTTGAAAAACATAATGTAGCAACCTGGACTAGCACATCTTTGGAGCCTGGCTTTTCTAAGCCGCATGGAACATTCACAGTTCAGCCCCTTTTTCCTCTCCCAAAACCAAGTAAGACTTTTATACCATTTACCATCAACATAAAAACCATAATGAGTATTTGGTTAGTTTAAGAAAAAAAAAAAGATGCAACACATATAATAGCTGTCTTAGGAAGAATCTTCCTTGAAAAAGGAATAAGAATTACTCATTATGAAATCTGAAAGATAAATATCTTTACAAAAATGGAGTGGATTCTAAAAAAACTCAAAAAAAGGCCATACAGGCAGAAGACACTTAATTCTCTTCCATTTTCCCTA